ACCGAGGTCGTTTCAAGTGTGCCATTATCTAGCCAAAGCGACGAAACAAACCTAAGTATTGCAAATTTTCGGGTGGCTACAACATGAACGCGACTTCGGATAAAGCAGTCGATTACTGTTCAGGCACGCCCGGTAATTTTCACTTCGGTCTGTGTGTAGCCTTTGCTAACGCCTACTGTCTCATGCACAAGCGCGATGAGTTGTTCCGCTTCGTTGCTTTCGAGCGATTACTTATAAATAAATAAGTAAATAAATGAATAAATCACGGGGTCATTCAAGGTGATAAAGTATGTACAGGGGAAATCACAGCCGAAGTTGTAGGCTACGGTAAAAGTGAAGGACGTGCAAACTGTTTCTATACACACAATTCCGGCTTGTGGTGGCGGATGTAGATAGCTTCCGCAATAGAGAGGAGATGCTTCCGGAATCCGCGTGGGAAACGTTCAGGAATAGTATAGATGATTCTGAAATCGTTTTCCGTCCCTGCGTGACTGCACTCTAGAAGATGAGACAAGATGGAGCTGTTACTAGACTTCGCTTCGCCTTTGTAATACCACTTCGGGATGTGTTCGCGAATCCTATGAGATAGGCACCTCGTGGTACGCAGCCCACTCCGGCACTTTTAGCACTTTCTCATCAGCATGTAATGTTTGAGTCTGATGTAAATAGATAAATGGTTTATTCTTCACGGGGCGAGGCACACCTGTTAAAGTATGATCAAATTTGTACAATAGGTGTAATTTTATAGGAATGCTTCGGTTGAATTATTATAAAAATATGCTTGAAGGTGGCCTCAGGTTTTACATATGCGCACATGTCGCGTGTACTAATTTGGTATAATTGTTGCTGGGTGAAAAGCAGAGTGTGCTAATTGATGTAAAGAACCGGAATCTTTGAGCTTGGTGGAAAGAAATCGAATTAGAAGTGAGGAACAGGTACGGTTGATGCCCTTGAGCTTCTGAGGTAATCAATCTTTTCTTCCATAAAACCATTGAGATATCCCTTTATCCAGATGTATAGTAATTGAAATTGTATTTGTGATGTGGTGGGGTACCTGTGGAGCGACAACTGTCCTGGTTGGCGAATAGTCAGCCGGAAAGGTAAGTTGTCATAACCATGGCATAATCTTCAATCCATTTCCAGATAAGCGAACCGTGTGTCAATGTAAGGGCCAGCATCGTTAAATATGTACCAGCAGAAGCCATTTCCCGGATAAAGTGCAAACCGATGTGCCCGAAAATCTCAGAAAAACGCGCATGCACTATTTTACACGGCCGAGAGCCGTATAGTTCAAACACTTGAAGGCGCACGCATTGTGGGCCCCTGAGAAGTTGCTTTCAACGGCAACGCGCCGAGTCATTAGAAGCTCTATCATGCGGCTGCAGGCATCAACGATCTCTGATCCACATCAACGATCTACCGCAGCTTCTCCGGTCGCCGTGTGCCTTGTTTGCGGACGACATGAAGATTTGGAGAGAAATCGACGCTCCCGATGACTATGGCCTACTTCAGCAAGATCTCAACCGCTTATCCACATGGTCTGCAGAAGTTCTTCTCCCGGTCAACCCAGCCAAGTCGGTATTTATGAGCCTGGGGAAGGGTGCTAACGGCCGAACCTACACCCTTGACGGCCAAACGCTATATCCCACACCATCCGTGAAGGACCTAGGTGTACTCTCACGCTACGATTTGAAGTCCGTGGACAACACGAACAGGCTATATCGTAACGGACTGCGCATGCTTTGGGCGCTCAAACGTAGCTTCTGCACATGGTCTGAAGAGGTTGCCACTCGCCTGTTCTCTTCTATCATTAGACCAATGCTAGAGTACGGTTCGCCCGCCTACTTTCCCATTACCCGAGGCGAGGCACAAAAGATCGAACGGGTCCAACACGTTGCTACCAGGCTCATCCCGAGTTTACGTGGCTTTGGGTATGAAGACGGGTGCGCGAAACTAGGACTCTACACCTTGTCCTACCGTCGGGTGTGAGTCGACCTCATTATGACCTACCGAATTCTACATCTCGGTGAGTTCCCCATGTTAAGGCCAATGCTGCACTTTCGAGGGCCATGCAGCACACGCGGACACAGATACAAACTTGTTGTGCCGGATATGAAACGTGTTCCCCACCCACTGTGCTTCGAACGGAGAGTGGTAAACATTTGGAATAGTTTGCCCGAACATGTGATTGAGGCAACATCTGTGCAACAGTTCAAAACGTTGTTAGGTTTGCATTTTGTTTCTATTCGATTCAGAGAACGACTGCACACTTACGATGACATCACATTTGTGAATCCTGAAATATCGTAAGTCGAATATTTTAAATGTTACATGAGAACGACAATGATATTCAAGGTTGACAACTTTTATAACGTTTTTCGCCATATCTCGAAAGAGTTGTACAGAATCCATTTCTACTTGCTCTATAATACAGTATTCAGTATTCAGTTGTAAGACGAGGTACTCACCCACGAAGTTGAGCTTAGTGACTACTCGTGCCTCCGTTGTGTTAGGCTATCAAATGCCTGCGGTGGCGTATTGCTCTACATCCGGTCTTCTCCGTGTGGGAGACTTGTGAGCGCTCACGGAAGCGAACTTGGCCTATGTGGGCAGTTGTGGAGCTCGATCCACCTCAGGCGTGAAGAGCTGCTCATGGGTGCATTTTTCTTAGCCTTCTGAGGCATTTTTTTTTGAATTGACTGCCTCTTCTGGACCACATGGGCCGCCCCCGTTTTTGACTCATATGTGCTTTCAAGCGTCTTCGAATGCGCTGACCTGAAGTTCAACTTATCACCGGATAATTTCGGACTAAAGTGTCAAAAAGTTGGACCGGTCAAACCACGTTGGTTCGACAAGGAATATGGTAAATTGGCTCGGCAGCGGCGCAGACTTTGGGTCAACGACTACGAGATGTATAGAAAGCAACGAAGCATTTGCAACAATGCGAGAACTAGCAAGCGTTGGGATTTGTAAGAGCAGCTTGCGATCGCCTCCTGAAGCCTGCAGGTGACCTATTAATGGTAGAGGGCGAGGATGGACCACCCCTAACCTCCAGCACTGAGCGTGCGCCCGCATTGGCAGCGCACTTTACTTCGTGTTTGCAAATGACCAGGTGTCTCTACCGAGTTTGTCGTGCTCCGCCCTTACCGAACTCGACAGTCCGCATTGTGGCGTGAAAGAGGTGTATCAGCTATCCACCAAACTTGATGGAACCAAACCTGCTAAGCCTGATGGGTTCCACCCCTTGATTCTCAAGTCCTTTTCGGCCATCATCTCGCCTGCTGCGACTGACCTGTCTAACAGATCGCTGTCTAAAGGTTCGTTGCCGGTTGATTAGAAATACTCGGTGGTAATCCCGATTCCGAAAGGCGGTGATCCCAGCAAAGTAGACACTTACAGGCAAATTTGTTTGACATTTTTTGGCAAAGCTTGCCGAGACGATGATGATGAAAAGTTTGTTACAGCTGTTTCGGTTAGAGGATCTGACAGCCGCCCAGCACTCTTTCATGCCACGTTGTTCATGCATCACCAACCTGTTCATGATTACGCATAAATGTTTGCAAGCAGTTGACCAGAGGAAGTCTGTCGACGTGATCTACATCGATTTCAGCAAAGCGTTTGAAAATGTGAAATATGAGGTCCTCCTTCTCAAGCTGAGAGTGTGCGGTGTTGGTGGATCTCTGCACCACTGTATCCAGGACTTTCTCGTTGAGCAAAAGTGGAGATCACAAGTCGATAGCCACCTAACCGACTGGTATCTTCCGACCAGTGGTGTACCCCAAGTCACGGTGCTGGAGCCCAGATTGATTCATATCAACGATCTACCTCAGCTTTTTCGGTCACCGTATACCTTGTTTATTTATGATCAGCATATGTGGAGAGTAATAAGCACTTCCGACGGCTGTGGTCTACTTCAGCAATACCTCAATCGTCTTTCCATGTGATTTGTAGAGGTCCATCTTCCGATCAACTCATCCAAATTGGTATTCATGAGCCTGTGGAAAGGTGCTGATGACCGAACCTACTCTCGTGACAGCCAACTGCTATTTTTCACACCTTCCGTGAAGGACTGGGGCGTGGAAAATTCTAACAGGATACATCGGAACGGAATATGCATGCTATGGGCGCTCAAATGCAGTGTCTGCACCTGGTCTGAAGAGGTTGCCACTCACCTGCTCCTCCATCAGAAGACCCAATGCTAGGGTACGGGTCGCTCGCCATTTACCCCACCACTCGAAGTGAGACAGAAAATCGAACGGCTCCAACAGGTCGCTACTACGCTCATTTCCAGTTTTCTGGGCTTACTGTACGAAGACACTTTCGAGAGACATAGAATTTAAACCCTGACTTATCGTCGAGTGGGAGTCGACGTCATCATGACCTCCCGCTTTCTGCATCTAGGTGATTCCTCCACACTGAAACTACTGATCCACTTGCGAATACCTTGCCGCACACGTCGACACCAATACAAGCTCATGCTTCCAGATCTGAAGCGAGCTCCCATTTTCCCTAGGCTTTGAACGGTGAGTGATCAATGCTTAGAACAGTTTACCGGATCATATCGTGGGAGCGAACTCTCTACACCAGTTCAAAACTTTGTTGGGTGTACATTCCTCCAGGGTTAGATTCTGAGAACGCTTATGCGCTGACAGTGCCATTTCATATTTGTGAATTCTAATTCACTGTGCGTTTTACTTCATCTTTTGCGGTATTATGTGAAAACTTGTAAAACGATCGGCGTGTTGTTAGGTCATAGATATTTTTTTTAACGTTTTTGATCATATTTCGATGGAGTTATACAGATTTAAATTTCTACTTGCTCCCACCATGCAGTAGTTAGTATTCGTAGCGATGGTTCTTTCCTGTGTACCATAGTATGTTTACTTTACAGTAACGCGTGATCCAACATTTCTTTTCCTTTTCACGGTCTCTGTCGATGTTACTAACGGTTCACTTGTTTCTGTTCAACTTCTACTTGTCCCTTGTTCTCACCCGGTTAGGCTCAGCTTGGCCGCGAATCTCGTGGGACAGTGGAATTGAGCGCACGGTCCGCAGACGAAGAGCGACCGGAATCTGGCGGTCTGTACAGTAGCAATTACACGGAGCCCAGGAGCCAAAACAATTCTGCTGATGGTCTAATGACGCTCACTCGACTCGCCCTTTGGACCCAAGAGCCTCGTTTTCGGCTCCGATTTTTAGCCAGTTTGTGTGACGTTTGTCGTGGAAAGCGTGGTGGTGCTCTGGCTTCGGAACTATACGCGTACACTCTTCACGGAGATTCAGATGTAGTCGGAATGATGCGTTTTATGCTGAGAAACCTCGCTTCTACCTTGTTGCATTTTATAAGCCTATGGATTTATGATGGGCAACTGGACGATCCGTTCCAAGAGTTCTTCGTCGCTTGCAACTCGTCTATCAAAAAAGAGCGCCTATGGCATGAAAAATACAGCCTCAGACGCCCAATGATTCCCACTTTCATCACATTATCACAAGCAAACAAGGCAGGTGATTTTTGTTGTCCGCTTACTGGTATTCTCTCGCAACTTCCCTTTTGTCGGACTTACCCACTTCCTTTTGGCTCAATTAGATCCTTCTCGCCGGAAAGGCTATCAACTTTCTTCATTACGCATGTGGTGAGAAGCAAACCATCAAGGACCGCGACGTGATACGCAACTCACGTCTGCGACGAGGTGAGTTCGGTCCTCAACTCTGTGTCTTCTCGCATTTCACGGATGTGCGTTGATCATACTTTGCGTACTTACTCTGCATGGCAATTTGTCACGTTCACATTCTGGACTTCACCTACATTCGTTTTTCATACCTGTTTTGGGTCTGTGCCACGTAAGCTGTGAACATGATTTTCCAAGGTTCTCAGAGAACATTCTACGGTAAATCACTGGGTGACACGCCACTTGTCTAAGATATCACCAAACAAGAGCTGAAAGTGGTCGATCAATCCACTTTTTTGTCCTCGTTTGATCCGATACAGTGACTGGTTCATGCCAAGTGCTGAGCCAGCGTCGCCATCCTAGCCACCGACTGACATGCAGGTGACTGACAAGAGATGGAAGTGGTCTACCAATTCACCTTTTTGTTATGTTTTACTTCATGTGGTCGCATCACTGAGAAGCCCGTGCGGTTTTACAACATCGGTCACCTGTGGGGACGATGAGAAATCATCCGGTTAGACGAAAGTTCGGTGCACACTACTGCGATTATGCAACGGTGATGTGTGGTTCAGAAGCAAGGGCACTTCGCGCTGCAGATGTCAATACATCGGCTGTCTTCGATCATCAGTGTTTGCGTAGTATTTCTCGCATTTAGTGAGAGCACCTGGTGAGAAATACAGACGTCTGACCGTTGATGTTGGGAAAAAGTTTCCAGTGCATTAATGGAATGTTTGCCAAACTTTAGCCGCTTACATTGGTTACGTCTTATCTTTCATCTGTCTGATGTCCGTATGCTTTATTATGTATTGCTTACCGTCACTACACGTTGTATGAAGTGACGGTTAGGTCAGCAGAAAGCGTGATTTGGTCAGGTCGATACGTCCTTCCCACACGGGGCTCGATGATCGGCAACGTAGGTATAGGGGGCGCTAATCCGACGCGGCCTGATCGCGGTAACAGTGACGCTCCTGTACTCGGTTTCTGACATCTAACTCGCAAAGCTTCGGCTCACTTCATTTTTCCTCTGTATCATACGTGTGCAGTTGCTCGTTTTTCCACCCTTTTCAATTAGCGTTGTCCGGGTGACGCGAGTCATGTCAACGGAATGCACCTCCAATCAGGGCTGTTTTTGTTTGCTGAACTAAACTACATACTCAGTCATGGATGATATTCGTTTCCGTTTTCAATTGTAGCCACTTAAAACCATGTTGCCGAATGTGTTAGACACCAGGTGTTAGTTGTTTCGTCTCTGTTCCTCTTGTTCTCTTGCTCGTCATGTGGTGTGGTTTCCACTTGAGCCTGATGGCCTCTTAGATATGCACTCAAGTTCCGTGACAACCACCTTCCCCTGTGCACGCACCGAACGGTCAGTGCTGTTAATGCGTCTGCAATTCACTTTTTGTAACACCGGCTCTCTTTTGCGCATACTTTAATGAAGCAACTTACCTAGTTTTCATTCATTTGCTCCCTGGTTTTGCTGTCAACTTTGTCCTTCGCATCCCATTAATTTATTGTTTTGGCTAACATTCCACTTTTACCTGTCCGTTTGCAGTGGAATCAATGTTTGAACAGGACTCAGATCCATCCTTTGACAAGATGGTTTCTCTTGTCTACAAGCAGACCAGCCGATATCTTTTGGAAACCCTCATCGACCATTACCATTTTATGGACCACTTAAGAGTGAGTGGCCCTCCTGTACTCTTCGTATGGTTTACTTGACTCCCTCTTATGCCGACCTACTGCGATTTATTCTCGATTAGACCACCTGATGTTACCTGTGCCCGTGTTTCGTTTTTTTTTGATATCCGAGTGGGTGGAACTCAGAACAAATTAGTGTTCAGGCTCAACCTCGCAACTTATCTAATACGCAGACCAACCTGTGTTTTTCTCTTGTGACCTATCATCCATTACTTCCTTCACCTTGAAAGGCAACTGGCTAGTTTGTTTTCACTGAGTATCATAAAGCCCTTTTTGTCCATTTTGCTCGACTGAGACGCACGCGTAGCGAATTGGTCAGCTCATTGGCTAACTGTTAACCAAACCTCGGTGCACACCACTTGGAAGCTCCCAACTACTGTAATCCCCTTGCATGTAGTGTTTTTCGATCTAATCGTAGGAGGCATCGGTTGCGGCATCAAGCACTTGGGTCAAACTGCCCTATCACTTCCTTTTCACATTGTGCCTCTGCCCCACCGGATCTCTGGTATGGTCATATCAAACGGTAGGCAACATTGTACTTGGTTCGACGCTTGTGATTCCACTTCACTCAAGTTTTCTGAATTCCAACGACTACTTTACGACTCATTTTTCTCTTCTCGATTCTTTACGAATTTTATACATTGTCTTCACATATTTTAGGCTACTCGGCAATTTTTACTTCTCGGTCAAGGGGATTTTATCACTCATCTCATGGACCTGTTGGGGTGAGTTCGATATTTTGGTGGTGTACCCCTTAACGTTGCTTGCCCTATTGTTTTAGTGTTGCGTTAGCGTTTATCCTCAGAGCACTCTGATCCATTCCTCTTCGCCGCCGTCACATACTGTACATCTTTAAAACGCTTGTGAGTGTGTGGAACCTCATATCGTTGTGTGCGGTAGAGGTTCGCTGCACTTCGACTAAGCAACGTTGATGTGGATCGGGCCATTGAACCGCACCGCCATGGTTGCGATGCATCTGATAGAAACGAGATAAAACAGTAATTTAAAACGTGTGAACATGTACACCAATACCCGTCGCAAGATTAAAACTTGCCACACGTGAAATAAACGGGGCGGCCAACAAGAGTCTTGTCCTGCGTGCATATAGCTGACCATCCCAATCTAAGGTGGACGCACACGCCACTGACCGATTTCTGTTCTTTTCAGCACTAACATCGGACGTCACAGTCCTTTTGAGGCGTTCGGCCTTTTAGGTTACTTGAAAATCGCTAGCTACCACTTTGCTAACGGGGCCTCTTTTTCTCTTTGGGATCGCTTTATATCGCTGGCAAAAACCATGGCCCATGGTGTATGTGCACAGAGGATGGCATCCAGACAATTCAAACAGGTTAAGTGCGCCAGTTGATAGCCACATCTGTTGCCACTTCAGGTAAGGTGGACGTCAGACTAAAACGGGATCATTCATCTATCACCGTCAGTGAATACTTGCTGTTGATAACAGACAGAGTGGGTCATTGAAGTCTTTGCCCAACCACTCGGTCGATCGCATGTATTCCCTTCGTTTTCCAGCCAGCTTTCCATGAAACAAAGTTTTATTCCCTTCGCGCACCTTATTTTTTGCTGTGACGATCTCCACGTCTTCAGTCGAGGACGGATGCATCGCAGCATGCATAAAATGTACCATGCGCCTGATGTCTAATTTACGCTGCTCGTCCCACAGTTTGTGTACAATAAGAGACTGGACCTTAACGTGGTGCCATGGTTTGCCTGCCTCAGCGATCCACTGAGCTATGCTGCAACTACACGGTGGTACCTTACGCTATAAGACGGACTGTCTGTAGCCTAGTGCCCTAAATCCGCTGTCTTGCGGTAAGGTTTTTGAACCAAAAGCCTTTTGTCGAGAATCTTAATCGTTCTCCTGTTTAGACCTGGGCAACCTGACAGTATCCTGCCCACGCAATACAATGAATTTCTCTTCAAACGATTTCCTGATACTCTGGCCACCGCAGAGGATAATCAACGGTGCCCTATCTACTGCATTGATCAGAGTGGATAGGGGTTTGGATGCTACTGCTCAAGCTTTCCCATCTTATTCTTCCCCCTCTTACGCTTTTTCACCCTTAACGTCCCGTTCCAACTTCACTTTTATCCCCTGTTTTCAACCCCCAATTCTTGGTCATCCCCACCTTGCTTCCATAATCGCTTATCTTTTAGTTTCAACTCACATGTGAACGCGGAGCGTCATTTCTGCCCTCTCAACAGGCCCATGTCCAACCAAGCGACCCATTCCAGTTCATCGGCTTCCATTTGGAGCCCTCGATGCTCCTTCAGGTTGGCATGCCTCAGTGTACGCACATTGCTACAGATCGGTCGACAGGCAGCACTTGCCCGAAGTTTAGAGACCCTTTCGATCGATATCTGCTGCTTATCAGAGACCCGCCTACAAGACTGCTCACTTTGCAATCCCCTTCAGATGACACCAGCAGTGCTTTCTCATTGCGCCTATCCGGTGACGATGCAGCTACGAGCACGCGCCAAGCTGGTGTTGGCATTGCGCTGAGTCCCCGGAATGAAGCTGCTCTAGGTGATTGGATCCAAATCAGTAGCCGGATGTGTGCGGTCCGATTGGCTCGATCGTTCAAAGCTTTGAAGTCGCGCAGAACTGATAGGTGTCTACTCATCATCGCTGCCTACGCGCCCACAAACTCTAGCGATGAATCGGTAAAAGACGACTTCTGTCGTCAACTGAACCAGCTCCTACGCCACAGAAGAAACTCGGACACTGTAGTGCTGGCTGGGAATCTGAACGCTCAAGTTGAAAAATTATCCACTGATGAGCTGCATCTGGGCGGCCAACATGGTGTAAGCTCCCGTAATGATAACGGTGAGCGGTTACTTCATTTGTGTGAAGTTGCTCGCTTATTTCTTGTGAGCATTAATTTCCGACACAGCACCCGCCGGAGGGGGGGAGTGACTTGCCTCCCACCAGCCTCGAACCAGCGTTGGACGTAGATCGATCACATTGGAATCAGTTGCCGCTGGAGAGGCTGCATCCAGAACTGTCGCTCGATTTGGAGCACATGTGTGGACACCGACCATGCATTTGTCTAGGCTGACATGCGGATGCGTTTTGGAGGACGCCCACGACGACGCTGTGAGCGAATTGACACCAGCCAACTGACAAAGCCAGCTGTTCTGAATGCGTATCAAAGTACGCTGACATGCGAGCTGAGTAAACGCTCACTGGAGACAATTGACGGTCACTGCTCTCATGTTCACCAGACCTTACTAGCAGCAGGCAAATCCTCATGTAGTGTGTCTACTAGGCAACATGGACATTGGGTCTCTTTGAGGTCTCTGGAATTTGTCGATGCGCGTCGGTATATTCAGGCTGGAAGCGGATGCAAAGAGCTCTGGGCAAAACTCCGTGCTAGCGTGAAGAGAGACCGCGAATTCTGTTGGCGTCTTCCTGCGTCAGAGATGGAAGTAGCCGCTGCCCTTGGTAACCATCGAAAGTTATTCCGTCTGATACAGGAAACGGGCAACAGGAGACTCGATGTTAGTGAAACAATTTGTGACGAGGGTGGACAGCCTATCTACAATTTGTCAAAACGTTTGGAGCGTTGGACTGAGCATTACGAAAAGCAATTTATTGGGCCGGAATTATTCGATTCCCCACCGACCAGTGATCGCCCTGCTCCTTGGGCTGTCCCTTTGGATCCGCCCTCTCGCTCAGAAGTCGAACATAAGATCGGACTGCTGAAGTAGAACAAAGCCGCGGGACCAGGTGATCCTCATTCAGCCCTCTTCGAATTCGGAGGCGTCGCTTTCGTTGATGAGTTACTCGACTTGCTACTGAAACTGTGGGAGCAGGAAACTATCTTTACCGACTGGAGCCGCTCCGTTATCATTCCCATCTTCAAAGGAGGCTTGCGCTCGGAATGCGACAACCAATTGAGGAATCAGTCTGATCTCCATCACCACCAAATTACTTGACTCTGTCATCCTTCACAGACTGACTGGCGCTCTTGAAAGCCAGATTCGTGAGGAGCAAGCCGGGTTTCATCGGGGTCGTAGCTGCATCGACCACATTTTCATTTTGCGTCAATTGTTGGAGCATCGTCACATATATTGGCGGCCCACCGTAGTCTTGTTCCTCGAGATCAAAAGTGCCTTTGATTCGGTTGTTCGATGTGTCCTTTGGGACTGTCTACTCAGGTAATGAGTGCTCGAGAAATATGCAAATATTATCCGTGCATTATACTGGCGTAGCACGAGTAGAGTGACGGCTTATGGCAGACTGTCGCCGCCCTTCAATATCTCCAGCGGTGTGAGACAAGGATTCCCGTTGTCACCATTCCTCTTCAATTTCGCTATTGACGAAGTCATGGAAATCGCGTTCACAGGACACAACTTAGAAGGTGTGGAGCTACTCCCAAGAGAAGGACTTCTTGACTTGGAGTATGCAGACGACATTGCCCTCATCTGTGACAGCTCCCGGACGTGCCAAGTTGCACTGGACAGATTAGCACTGGCTGTCAGCCGCTTCGGGCTTTGCTCTGCACCATCGAAGTGCAAAGCGTTCCTCCAAGGTTGGTAGGGATCACCTCTTGCGCTGACCCTTGGTAGGGATCAGCTAAAGTCGTTCAGAAATTCAACTACCTGGGAAGTTGTATCAGCGACCTTGGGATTGAAGACGAGATCAGGAACCGTATGGCAGAAGCTCGAAGAGCTTTTGCTAGTCTTCGCCACCTATGGCGCGGGCGCGACATCACTCTCGCCCTGAAGGGTAGAGTGTACAATGCAGCGGTACTTGCGACCTTACTGTTCGGTTGCGAAACCTGGTCCATTTGATGAGCAGAAATAAAGAGGCTAGTTCCGTTCGACCCTCCGGTTTCTACGCACTTTGGCTCACATCTGGTGGAAACACGGCGTGAGCAACGAGCGTGTTCGACGCCCTGTTTATGGCACAGGAAAAGGAACTGAACCACTCAGCACCGTTATTTCACGCACCAAGCTGCGATGGTTCCGTCACATGTTGCGCATGCCAGCCCACGGACTCATGCGACGTGCGTTGTTTGCGCGCCGGGGTGTGGATGGAATAAGAGGAAGCGTAGTCAAGCGATGACTTGGTCGAGAGGAATGAAGGCCCTCACTTCTGAGCTGGCCTCGGTTGGAGCTTCACGGCTGCTTGATTGGGGTCCAAAAGACCATGAACACGTTTGGTTGGACACACTTACTGACATGGCTAGGAGCCGACCTCAGTGGCGTTCCTGCTGTGAGTTTCTTAGTCCCTTCCTATCCCCTTTAGCTTCCCACTCCAACCACGATCCCATTTCGTAGCATAATATAATTTTACATCATAACTTTTCTTGCTGCCTAGTATCTGGCTAGTTGCTTCTTGCAACGATGCCCAACCGTTGCTGGTAACTAAGCTGGCATGTAACTGTTGTATTTATTTTCTTTTTTCTTTTATGTATTGCGGCACAGTAGCTGAGATGTTTTACACCTCTAGGTAACGTGTTTATCTATATATTAATAATACCTGCCTTCCCGCACGAACGTCGTACGTGGATTGAGACTGTTAGAACTTAATGTGGTCACAGGTGCGCATAGATTCTCTCCAGTTCTCCTCGAATTCGTCGGACCTGTAGATTATGTGCACAACTTACTTGTGACGCTGTGAGCGCAGGAAACTGCCCCTGCCGACTGGAGTGGCTCGAGTGGCTCATATCAATCAATCAATCAATCATATAGGGATCAG